CCAACAGGATTGGTTTCTCCTGCGGCCTCTCCTTGGCTTGCTAAGGGCCACACTCTGGTGGCCTCCTCACATGGTCATTTCAGTGTACTTGTGTCTTTGGGGTTTCTTCCTCTTAAATGGACACCAGTCATATTGGATTAGGGCCCCATTCTAATGACCTCATTTTAACTTCATCACCTCTTGAAAGACCTCATCTCAGGTACTAGGAGTTAGGACTTCAGATGGGCATGGAGCTGGGGTGGGGAGTGGACAGTTCAGCCTGTATCAAGGTTACACCAGTCAGCCAAGCCTGGTCCTGTCTCAGCTCCATTAAGTAGCCACCTCAGGACACTGCCTAACCGCCACGGAGAAGATTCACCTGTGAGTTCATTCTTGTGTCCCCGTGTGTACAGAGCCAGGTGCCATCTCTTTGTGGATACATGGTCACAGGATACAATGAGAGAAAGACAAGAAAATGCTTTAAAAATCCCCAAAATACATTGGCAGTGGCTGTGAAAGCCTGAGTTACCTTTCACCTGTGCTGTGATGATTTCGAGGTGACTGCAGCAGCCTATCTGTCTTGAGGAAGACCATGGAAGAAATAGGTTGAGTTAGGGTAGTTTGTGGACCTGCAGCCTCCAAAAATTATCTAGCCAGAATTGTTACCTTCCCTTCCTGGCCTCTCCCTCCCAGCACCTTTCTGGGCAAACTCCCTGATATGTTAATAGATTTATTGGCATAATCCTCTCAGTGTCTTGCCAACAATTACATATATGTGTGTGTAATCTGCCTTCAGTATTCATTACCCCTGGGAGTTGGGAAACCAGCCTTAGGGGGGCTGGGAGAGGCAAACCTATTTGTGCCAGTTATTGCCTCCCATTTTAACCACTGCTCTTTTCCCAGGGCCCTGTGTTTGGCCGTGCCAGTTCCTCTCTCCCTCTTCTCCTGCTATGGGGTACCTTGACCCTGAGATGTTGCTGCTAAGAGCCAGCAAATGCCTCTGACAGCCCTTTGCAAAATGTTTCCAAGGTCTTGTTTTAGTGAAGATCATTTCTTCACTAAAACTGAGAAGAGAGCAGGGTTTCTGGGGGGCCTGCCCTGAGAATGCCAGAACCCAAAGCCCAGTGTTCTTAGAGACCACCATCCAAGGGAAGCCCAGGGATTATGCAACCTTCCCCATTCTTAGCCACCTGCTGCTTACTCAGATCCTGGTCAGGGGATATGCAGGGATAGATAGCCCCTTTGCAAGTGTGGGAGGAAGACCCACCATCCTTTCTTTGTAAGCCAGCCTCAGCTCTGGTCTGAGAGGAGAGGAGGTTGCTGCCAAGAGAGATGAGGAATCTGATCCCTTGCAGCAGCCCAGCTGCCCCTGGCTGAAGCCCTGTTCCCTCTGGCAGCTTGAGGACATCTGTAGGTTCCTCTTTGGCTCATTGGGTAGGTTTCTGCTGATGGAAATGGTATCTTTGAGTTATTTGTAAGTTATTTAGTAATAATCATCACACTGGATTTTTAATATTTATATCAAAGAACAGTGTTATGGTTACACAGCCTGACACAGCTTTAAGCCTCTGATCTTACATCTAATCTCTCTGACTCCTCCTCCCTGTACCCTGGAAAGGCAGGTTCTCTTACCCTCAGAACATGGAAATTCTGGAGGGAACTAGGATTCAGGTTTTAGGTCTTGGATGCCAGTGCTCCCTCTATCGATTTCAGCTGCCAATAAGGAGGGTATTTGGAGAACAGGGAAACCCGTTTTATTGTCCATATTGTCATCTTTCTTGTCAGTGGCAAAAGCAGTGTCTGATCTCTCGCTGTGTATAATTCCCTGCTGGGCATGTCCTGTGTTTAGTCTTCACCACCACCAATAAGAGGAGGGGGATCCTTAGCTTCCTGTATCAAGGTTACTCGGAGATCCTTACCAGGAAGATGAAGAAGTGTAGGCCAATGGCACACCTACCCTGAGTGGCAGGAGGCTTGAGGTGAGGTCAAGCACACCTGTTCACAGGTCACTCTCACCCTGGGGCATGGATCAAGTTGCATCCTTGGGCCTGGCCTCTTCCACATGGTAAACGAGGATTTGGAAGAAGAATGGCATTGATGGCGGGCCTATCAAGTCTCCAGGTGGTAGATTTGGGAGAGAGAATAGATATGTTAGTGGATCGGGAACCAAAAAGATCCCAACAGGCTGGAGCAGTAGACTGAATCCAGCGAGAAGGTATTTTTAAAGGATACCTGGCCAAACAACTCAGAGAGACCCTGTCTCTAAATAAAATACAAAACAATAGGGCTGAGGATGTGGCTCAGTGGTCGAGTACCCCTGAGTTCAATCCCTCGTACCCTCCCCCCAAAAAAAGGATACCTGTGGATTGGCAGCAAAATGGGTGAAGTAAGATTTAAGCGTGAGACAGCTGTAAGAAATAAAGCATATAGACTTATTTCTGGCTGCCTTAATAGGAGAATAATGTCCTGAATGGACAGGCAGAAGCTGGGAAGACCCCACAGGTAAGATCCTCCCTTCTGAATTCCAGAAAAAATCCAGGTCAGCAGGGGAGTGGAAACCCATGTTTTATGGCTTTAAAAGGCAGCTGGGGTGTTTAGACAGGAAAGAGACTTTGGGGAACTCAGACTTAGCAAAATGTCCTGTGGAAGGGGATTAGACCATTTCTGGAGACCCCACAGGGCTGGAGTGAGATTAACATGTAGTCGTCGCCTAGACACCTAGAAGCTCTGCGTAGGGGAGAGCTGTCCAACAGTCCGTCAGTGCTGTCTACCCCACACTGTCAGGTGCTATTGCCGTGGAGAGCGCCACGGAGCCAAGCCTGCAGAAAGACAAACCTACACTCCTGCAGGATAGTGGAGAGACAATGTCAGGCCCCCTGAAGAGGGCCAGCAGGGCGATTTCTTGCCTGTGGAGAATCTGTTAGTCTCAACCTCAGGGTCTAAGAAGTGTTGATCCCTTTGATGAAGTGGTGGCTGTATCCGGGATGACGGGCCTGGTGGAGGGCAGCTGTACCTCAGGGTCTCATTTGTAAATAGCTAGTTGCACCTGCCTATGGTCTGTGTGTGTGAGTTATTAGGATACACATTGATTTATTTTATCAAGTAAATACATTAAAAACAAAACAGTAGTACAGTCCAACTACCATCTATTATCACTATCAATATATAATGAAAGAAGATCCTAACACAGAAACATAGGGAGAACACAATCCGGGAGCTATCAGTAAGTGTAAGTGCGTGTGTCTCTGTGTGTGTGTCATATTATTTAAGACAAATTAACAGTTCTTCACGGACCCAGATTAGCAGTGCATGAGAGTTACTGTCTTATAGTGCCTGTTTACTATCTCCTGCCGGTTCTCTTAATTACCTTAACTTAAAAATCATCTCAACTTAAAAATCACTCCTTATATGGTTCCAAGCAGAGTTTGGAGGTAATTCCCAGTTATCTTAAAAGTGATTGTTCTGTGTATAGATTGTTCTGGCCCTGCAGGCCTCTCCTGATCTGGGTTTTCTCTGGCTTCTACAGTTCAACCAAACTGGAACTCAGAAGCAAGGACATTACACATGGGGTCTGCCAGCTCCTGCATGTCATTCAGGACATCATTCTCCTACTGTTATAGCCAGAAATCAGACTAGATATACATTAAGCGATTATTCCTCTTTCCCACCACCCACCACTCCTAGTAACTTGTCAATTTGCTTTCTGTCTCTGTGAATTGCCTGTTCTGGACATTGCAAATGGTTGGAATCACACAATGTATATGACCTTTTGTGTCTGGCTTCTTTCGTTTAATATCTTTGAGATACATCTGTGTTGTAGCACATGTCATGCTTCATTCTTCTTTGTGACTAAATAATACATCTTCGTATATATAAGCCACAGTTTTGTTTGGTCCATTGATGGGGATTTGGATATTTACATCTTTTGTGTGTGTGTGTAGTACTGGGGATTAAGCCCAGGGTTGTTCTGCCACTGAGCTACATCCCCAACCCTCTTTATTTATTTGTTTGTTTGTTTTTATTTTCTTTAATTGTAGATGGACACAATACCTTTATTCTATATATTTATTTTTATGGGTTGCTGAGGATCAGACCCAGTTCCTCACACATGCAAGGTGAGTGCTCCATCACAGAGCCACAACCCTGCCAGCCCTTATTTTTTATTTTGAAACAAGGTCTCACAAAGTTGCCCAGGCTGGCTATGAATATGCTGTCCTTCTGCCTCAGCCTCCCAGTTAGCTGGGATTGCAGGCATGTGCCACCATGCCCAGCTCATCTTAACCATTCACATTGTTATGCCACTATTGCTACAAGTCTCCCAATTCTGCAGCCTGCAAAACTGAAAAACTGTTTCTATTTAAAAATAACTCTTCACTCCTCCTTCCTCCAACTCCTAGAACCACCATTCTATTTTCCATTTATGAATTTGATTACTCTAGGTACCTCATATCAGTGGAATAATGCAGCATTTGTCCTTTTGTGACTGGCTTATTTCACTTAGCAAAACTTCCTCAAGGTTCATCCATGTTGTAGCATGTATCAGGAATTCCTTCCTTTTTAAGGCTGAATAACATACATACACACATACATACATACATACATACACACCATATTTTGTTTATCCACGCATCCATTGATAGATCCTTGGGTTGCTTCTATCTTTTGGCTATTGTGAATAATGCTGCTATCATCATGGGTTCACAAATATCTGTTTAAGACACTGCTTTCAATTCTTTTCGGTATAGACCCAGAAGTGGAATTGGCAGATCATGTGGTAATTCTAAAAGATTTTTTTAAATTTTTTGAGGAATGACCATACCATTTTTCATAGTGGCCATACCATTTTTTCATTCAAAGAAGAGTACATAAGCACTCCAGTTTCTCCACATCCTCATCATCAGCTCTTGTTCTTTTCTTTTTTTTTTTAATTACTAGAGATTGAACTCAGGGGCATTTTACCACAGAGCTACATCCACATGTCCACAATCCCTTTTTTTTTTTTTTTAGATAGGGTCTCACTGAGTTGCTGAGGCCAGCCTAGAACTTATGATCCTGTTGCCTCTGTCTCCCAAGTTACTGGGATTATGGATGTGTACTGTTCTAGTGTGCATGAGGTAGTACCTCTTTGTGGTTTGATCTGCTTTTCCCTAATAACTAGTGAAATGGAACATCTATTCATGTGCTCTTATTGCCCATTTTTATATCTTCTTTGGAGAAATTTCTGTTCAAGTCCTTTGTGCATTTTTAATTGGGTTGCCCTTGCCTGTTTTTGTATTTGAGTTATGCTTCTAAATTTGCTGCTCCTCAGAAGCCAGAATAGTGTATGCATCTTATTATCTTAAACCACCTGTTTGCTGAGAACCTAAGCCATCTACTGACTCCTTGGGCACCTGAGGTACGGAGAGAGAACAGGGCCAAGAAAGGCAGGCCAGAGAGCTCTGGCAGAGCTGGCCCAAGGGAAATATGCCCACCTCTGTCCTCCAGGTCCTCCTGGAACTTTCAGTCGAGGTACTAGGAAAGCTGTTCATGTTTGGCTCTGGAAAGACAGGCTTCCAGGACCGAAGGCCTGCCCTTTCATCTGTGTTTCTTTTAAGCATTGCAACATCCACCAGGCTTCTACTTGACAGTCCCCTGGGTTGGGAAAATGTGCCCAGTAGCCCTGGCTGGCCTAGGGCCTGGAGGACAGGCTCACAGCCTAACCCACAGGAGCAGACTATCTCCAGTCAAAGCTGTAAATGACTGAGAAAGCAGTGCTGGGCACTTCTTCCAGCGGGGCTCACACCCCCTCACCCACACTGACTCGGTTCCAGGAAATGGGATGGTGGACACTGACCAGCACAGCTCCCTCTCAGTCAGAAATTGATTAATTCTCCCTAGTTCTGGGAAGAAGCTCTCTCTAAAACAGTGGAAAACGAAGCCAAGAACCCAGAGGTCCAAAGTCATAATTCTCCCGTGGGAGACTCACCATCTGTGGCTTTGGTTACGTTGTCCTGCTGCTGAGAGGACAGTCCCACAGGGCCTGCCTCACAAGGCAGGAGGCACTGCCTAGCTTGTGGGGCATCATTTGAGAGGATCCCATCTTCCCATAGTCTGAAATTTCTTCAGGAGACTCATCCTGAGGGTCTCAGAAGCCCTTTGTCTCACAGGTTTTGCTTTTAGATGGACTCAGGTTTACCAGGTAACATCCAGGCTTTACTAACTAGTGGATGAAGCACCGGAAAGGTCTAGTAGAAGATGAAGAGGCCCAAAACACACCTGACCATTGTTGTTTTCTTTTCTTTTTTATTTAAGATGAAATTCACATAACAGAAAATTATCTATTTTAAAGTGTTCAAGGCTGAAGATATAGCTCAATGACATAGTGTGCACTTTGCATGCCTGAGACGCTAGGTTCAATTCCTCGCACCAAAATTAATAATAAAATGTGCAATTGATTGGAATTGAGTACATTTGCATTGCTGGGCATCCATCACCCCAAAAGAGAACTTATACCCATTAAGCAGTTACTCCCTGCTATTTGGGCAGTTTTTGTTGTTGTTGTTGTTGGTGGTGGTGGTGTTATTATTGTTTCTTTCCTCAGCCAGCTCCTGACAACCACTAATCTGCTTTCTGTCTCCATGATTTACCCATTCTGGATATTTCATATAAAGGAAATCACCATGTAGCGTGATCTTTGATGAACCATTGTTTTTATAGGAGCCCAGTCCCCCCACAAGGCTGCTGCTGTCTTTTGCCAGGATCAGGAAATAAATTTTCTAAATAACCAGAATGAATGAAAACTCCCTGCTTAAATTAATAGTGAAAATATCCCACCGAAGTTCTTTCCAGGCCCTAGGTAACCTCTCTATTTTCTCCAGAGCACAGTGCTAACGTGTTGAAATGGATGCTGCCCTTCAGCATGAACAGGCACCAAGAGGAGCGAGCATGGAAGGGCCAAAGGCCTCCACAGGCCACTGGGGACCCAGGCCCAGGTGGACAGCAGCTCCAAGAGCTGGGTCCCGTGCAGGTCAAGTGTGGCCACCATTCTAGGGGCTGCTGAAAGGCCCTGGCCCTCCATGCATAGTGCCAGCTCTCATGAGCATCTAAGGAGCTCACTGTCTCTGCCGCCTAAGGAGCTCACTGTCTCTGCCGCACTTCGTGTGTGTGGTTCAGGAAAACCCAAGTTCATCTGCCAAGTTCAGGATACAATTCTGACTGTTCCGGGCTTTTCTTTCTGCCTTTCCCTAATCTCGAATGGGCGTGCTCTCTAAAAGGGGAAGTGATGCATTCTGACTGGCCAGGGCCCACAGCCGGGAGCCAGGAAATGTCTACTAGCACGAGTAGCGCTGCCCAGCGTGGCACTGGCTCAGCCTCCTTATCCAAGGCTGCTTCCCCGGGATGTGTAAGTGTGAGCTCAGGGCATGATCGCCACCCAGGACGGCATGGGGCTGGGCACAGGTCACAGAAGAGAGAGCTCGGCAGGCTGAGTGTGCTGGTAGCCCACGATGCATATAACGAGCTGGGTTCAGCATAGTGCTCTTTACTCTGTGGCAGGAGCTGGAGTGGAGACAGGGTTGAGGCATGCAGTGGGGAGAGCAGCCACCTCAGAAAGAGGTTGGGAGTAGGAGGTGGGGCCGGGGACCCTACTGTTTGGGACAGCCCTTCTGGAGGCACAAGCCTCGGGTCTGGAAAGGACTGGAGTTGAAAATTTTATAGCACATCTTTCAGGACAGGGAAGCCAGCTACAGTGAGCCCTACCAACTCGTCTCCCCCACCTCTCAGGATTTATGTGCAGCTCAAATGATACTTTTTGCCTTTTATATACTCAGCGGTCACTTTTCTTTGCCATTTTATATGCAATTTGTGTTAAAGAAATGTTTCAGGTCCTTTCCACTCAAATTATATAAGCGGCTTGTAACTAGTGACCTGTGTCTTTCCTTCTTTGCTATTCATGGATGATTTTGGGTCCAGTGTGTGCACACAGTGGGTCCTGAATAAACCGTGGTGGCTGGCCTATTGGCGTACTGACTGGCTCACTAGGATGATTGGCAGTGCATCTGGCCTGGTTTCTAACTAGAGTTTTATTTCCTGTGTGCCCATGGAGAAATAAAGGGGAAAAGTCACACACACACACACACACACACATGCATGCACATCACAGCTCTTCACTGAATGCCACAGGGAGTGACTGACAGTAAAAAGACAGATCTTTGTTATGTTTTAGGCCCCTTTCTCCTGTATCTATTTTTTTGTTTGTTTGTTTGTATAGCAGTGATAGTTGAACTTAAATCATGTAAAAAGTTTGGTTTTCACCAAAACAATTCAGAACTTTTGCTTCTAAAGAAGGGGGACGTGGGGGGCATGTGTGTCTCTGCACACATATGTTGACAGGACACAACCACACCCTACTTCAAGACAACTTCCTGTTTGCCACTTCCAACTGCCACTCCAAGGAGAACAGAAATGGTTCCGTTAGTGGCTGCTGCAGGACCACAGCAGCCTGTGGGGTGAGCGCCGTGAGTTTAGCAATGAGCAGGACTTTGTACCTTCTATTGTAGGTGACCTGGACCCTGTGCTGACCAAATTGAAAGTTGGTCCAGACAGAAATAAGGTGGTGATGGCCTCTCCTCCTCAGCCTATGTTCCTCAGCACTGTGCCTCACGGGATTCTTGTAAATGGAAAATTTTAAACTCAGGGGCAAAGAGAAGGCTGCAGTCTGCTTCCTTGGGAGAGCTACTACCTGTGATTTTTTTTTTTCTTTATCCATCTTTTCATGATTTCGGGAACTTGTGTTCCCTACTCCGAGGTGGCACTGTGGTAGCCGCCTTCCCCGTACTTCAATCCTTCCAACATTGATTTAGCTAACAATGAATATGGGGGGGGGGGCACTTAGTAGAGTTACACTGCCAGGGCTAGAAGTGTCGACAGAGCTTTGCCCTCAAGGTGTGTCCAGGTGTAGGACATCTAGGGGAGTAAACCAGCAGTTACAGCATATGATGTGTGCTAAGAGTGGGGGACTCAATGCACCCTAGGCGACCTGCCCAGTTGGTGAGCTATGGTTATGCCCAGTGGCTATTGTTGTTCCCCTTTTGTAAGTAAAGATACCTGGGGCTCAGGGGGTTAAGTTGCTTGCTGAAGTCACAGAGCTAATGAGTGACAGAGCTGGGATTTGAGCCCAGATCTTTCTGAGTCCTGGTTTCGTCCATGTTTCCAGTGATTCCCAAAGCTGACGGAACATGACCATCACCTCAGGACCTTTTTTAAAAAAATACAGATTTGAGAGCAGTGGCCCTCCTGTCTCAAGAGTGAAGGAGTCCCTACTGTACTGGGTAGGCCGTGACATGTCCATGTGGCCTGGGCACTTTCCCTCCCTCCTGTTCCAGGAAGTTTTCTCCACAAGGCATGGAGAAGGCCTGCCTGTGCCAGAGATGGAGCTTTTGTGTGTAGCCCGAGGCACCTGGGTAAAGGCCACTGGGTAAAGTGCCTCAAGACAGTGCGGGGAAGAGACAGCTAGCTGTGCAGGTGTTTTAGACCCCGAGAATGCCAGGTCATGGTCGTCTCCTCAAAGGCACCCTGGCCTGTGCCTTCCATTTTGCCCAGTGTCCAGCTGCACCTGTTCCTTCAGTGGCCCTGAGGTAGGGATCATGTCAGCTGTGCCATCTTAAGGTGGACTCCAACAATTTATGAGAGAACTGGAAGTCTCCAATTTTCAATGAAGCTTGTGGTGACTCCCATGTAAACTCATGTGACCCATGCATCATACGTGTTTGAAGGATTGTGGAGAGAGGTTACCCTGACGACGGGAAGGGTTGATCTGCAGGTGGAGAGCCTTGCCAACCCCCCATACCCCAATGGGCCCAAACACAGGAGAACAGCTGAGACAATGTTAGGAGAGAATCACAGCTCTGGCTGCAGGCGGAGACCTCAGACCAGAGAGGGTTGTGTACCCTCTTGGGTCCTTTAAGCAGCAACTGTCTTCTGAGGGGCAAGTCTCTGCTCCAGTCACTCCGGGTGATGAATGTGATGGCCAGCCTAGGACCTAGGGTACCGTCCTGACCCCGAGGGAACCCTTTGGTTTCAAGGTCTAGCAATGACAATGTCTATCTTATTACAGCTGTGACAACCCACTGCTTATATCCCAGGACCTGGCACATGATAGGTGCCAAGGAAATACTTTTTTTTTAGAATGAGTGAATGAGGTTTGACTTTCATGTTTTTCTCTTCTTCCAACCTTTCTATTGGTACCTGTTTTCTCTCCTTGGCTTCTGCTGTTGGTGGTGTTTGTCTGTTTTTCATCTTTTTTCCTTGTGTGGACCTAAATGGCTTTAACAAAAGCAAAGTCTATTAAGTAATCCATCCCATACTTCCTTTTTTGCCTCATTCTCATACTCATGTTAATTTTTAAATAAGTAATTAGTGGTTACATAGTATTTGTGGTATTTTTCATTTTCTTGTGGATTGGGTGTGTTGTTTGGCTTAACATTTCCTTAGGTTGAGATAACCCTCATACCTGTCATTTTCAGTTGTCGTATTATAGATCATTCAAGTCATTTGTAGTATTTTTTATTACTATAAACAGTGCCACTGAAAATATCTTTGAATTTTTTTTCTTTTATGATATTTCCTTTAGGTCTACTTTTCAAACTAACATTACCAGATTACCAGATCAAAGGCTGCAAATGCCTTTTAGCTCCTGTTATTATCACCAGGGTACTCTCCAGAAAAATGTAATCCCTTAAAAGTACCCAGGCAATGTGTACATGCTTGTTTCTTGTGGGGTTTCCTTCTAGCCAGGCTTGGCATCTGCTGAAGGCACCCTTGGCGGCTGAGAGAAATACTTCAGGCACTGGAAAATCCCTGGGACTCCCCAGATCCTACCCAACATGGACTAGTGTCAAAATTTTGCACCTTGGTATCAATGACAAATAGAAGAGCAAGTAGGAGGAGAAATGCTCCCCAGGAGCGGAGAGATAAAGAGGATCTTATAGTTTGATCAGACTGCACAGATATATCCAAGAGCAGTTTTGAAATGGAAAATTGTGGAGAGAAGGGAACATTCTAGGCACAGTGGCATGAAGGAAAAGGCATTAACCTTGGAGCCGGGGAATCCTGGGCTTTCCTCCCAGATGCTGATGGCTGTTAACCTTGGTCTTGTTTCATAATCTTGCTAAGCTTCAGTTGCCCTGTCTATAACAAGGAGGCTGGCAGGATCAGATCACCTTGTGCAGTTGTTGGGTAGATTATGTGAGCTGGTGGGTGGAAAGGAATTTTCACAGAGCCTGACACATGGCAGGCATTCAAGAACCTGGGGATGGGGGTGATCAGATGACCAAGAAACCAACCTGGGACACGGGAGGTTGGGGAACCGAGCTGGCATGAGCAGTGTGGGCCACTCTCCACTCACTGGTTTTTGTCAAATAACTTAGTACCCTAAATAGCTCATGTTGCCCCAGGGTAAAGAAGACCTAGTATAAGTCCCTTGGTGACACCCTCTGGTTGTTAGTTTTGTGAGACTATGCCTTGAACCCAGAGGCCCTCTACCACTGAACTACATCCCCAGCCCTTTTTATTTTTTATTTTGAGACAAAGTCTCACTAAGTTGTCCAGGCTGGCCTCAAACATGTGATCCTCCTGTGTCAGCCTCCTGAGCTGTCGGGATTACAGGCATGGGCCACAGCACCCAACCAGGTACCCGTTCTTTGAGGAACACCTCCCCGGCTATTCAGGTCCTGAGATCTTTTAAGGAAGAGGGAGCAGAAATCCCTCACAGGAATCCCTGGCACAGGAAGTGCCTGGTTCTGCCTGCCACTCACTGCCTGCCTCCGTTCCTTGGTTTTCCTGTGTCGTCTTCTCCCCATCTGCTGAAGCAAGCCCATTCCATATCCCCCTGCAGCTACCATGGGGCTATATTTAGTGCCTAACTAGGATTGTAGCAAGTGGGACCATTGGCCCAGATTCGTCGAGCCCCAACTCTCCACTGTGCAGCCTTGAGACGTTGGCAAGTCTCTCAAAAGCAGTCTGCCTGTTTCCACAGCTGCCAACTGAGGGAACGTCTGCCTTGCCTGCCTTGCAAGGCAGTTGTAAGGTACAGCTAACATGGCTCCCTCTCTCCCCTCCAATTCCAGTTTCCTTTTGGAAGAAGGGCCCTTGGGATTCAAGGTTGTCCTTTAGGGGAAGCATCCTGACTGCGGTTACTAAAGCAGAGAGCATCCACTGATGAAGTGGAACTTGGCTCATGACTCGCCAAGCACTTGCCCTGGGTGGGGGTGCAAGGAGACTTGGCACTGTCAACTGAGTAAGCCAGCTGCTGGCCTTACCTCAGGTTTGCTTTCACAGCCACGGCAGGCGAAGGTGATGGTGGTGCCCAAAGTCTATTAGGAGGGGATGGGTCTCTTAAAAACC